TTTCTGGTCCTCCTGCCTCCACCTCCCAAGTGCTGGGATGCCAGGCATGCACTACCACATGACTGCGGTACGGGGATCAAACCTTCTTGTAGGCTAGGCAAGCACTCTAGTAACTGAGCTATGCCCCCCACACACACACTTAACCATTTTCTCATTGCCTTTCAAGTAAAATAAAGGACAGGTGATGTCATAAAATGAGCAAAGGAATACCATTTCTTATCACCAAAATGGAATGAGGGACAATGTTAAAGAAGCCATAGGAAGGCGGGTCCTCTCCCACAGTCCTGGGGTGGACACTTTCAGTCCAACTGCAGCTTTAGGAGGTAAGGTTAGGAGAGAGGAAGAGAGAGAAAGCAGGCAGGGAGACAGAATAAGGGTGGGTGCATGAATTACAACTCGGTCCCCATCACCTCCAACACTAGGTCACTAGATGATCTAGTCCTTTCCCTCAGCCTTACTTCCTCCTCTACCAGTGCTTTGGAGAGATGATCTGAGGATTTGTTCTGAGTCTAGATTCTGTTTGCATTCCAAGCAGATAGAAATGACAGGGTTCACACTATGAAATGAACAAAGTTTAGTAGCAAAGAAGCCATTTGACAAAAAGCACCTAATGTTACTTCAATTCTTATGAGTCCATATGACATGTCACATGTGAAGTTTTGTAATTTAAGGACTTAATGGTCAGGAAATTCAGCTGCACAGCTAAACAGCATAAAGCATGTAGACTAAGGCGGACAGTAAATTCCCTCACCTATTTGCCACAGGAGTGGACTGCAAGAAAAGCCATTGTTCCACAACCATTTCCTGAATTCCCTCTGTATGCCAAGACTCGTCTGGTTCTGGGGTGCATGGGCTGTTCTGCGATTCCTGCCATGGAGCAAATCATCATCACACAGTCGTGGTAGGAAGCGAGAGATGTTGAGATGGAGGGATGCTCAGTGACTCAGCACAGTGCTCATCCCCCACCCAGTCTTCTAAGCTAGGGTGAACAAGCTTGCTACTATGTGAAAGCCTAATAGAAAGGGAACCTGTATTTACAGTAAGTGGTTAATAAAGAGATGCAAAGTCCAAGGATCAATTAACTCAGATTTCAACTGACTTCTACCTGCAACCCAACACTTATAAGGACCATTGGCTTTAAAAAATACTATACCCTTAAAATTATTTCCCAATTTACATTCTATTTTTATTTTTTATTTTATTTATTTATTTTTGATTTTTCAAGACAGGGTTTCTCTGTGTAGCTTTGTAGACCAGTCTGGCCTCGAACTCACAGAGATTCACCTGCCTCTGCCTCCTGAGTGCTGGTATTAAAGGCGTGGGCCACCACCACCCAGCGAAAGTGGCTGCATTTGTTTCACCTGCTTAATCCAACCTGAGTTAAGGTTAAATGATTCATCACATTAATTCTTCCCACAGTTTCTCCTTGTCAGACTAGATGACATGTTCATGTGATACACTGAGTGACTTTCCATACATCTCCATATTGTGTAACTCAGATACAGCTGTAGATCTCTTTAATAGAGTTTTCTTTGGGGTATGAAGCTGCAAACTCTGCTTGTTGAGTGGGTGTGGACCCTAGTTAAAGGACGTGATTAACATGATGCATGTATGTGAAAAAAATCTTAAAATTTGCATAATCAATATATGTAAATATAAATTAAATAGGCAAGTAGAAAACATGTAAAGGTATTTAAACTAGATTTTATTCTCCTGTGTCTGATTTGGCCAGAAGGACATTTTAAGTGTTCCATATGGGCAACTCAAAATCTTCAAAAATTCAAAACATTTGAACTCTTAAAATATCAGAAGTTTCTGTTTTGTTTTTCTAATTTCTTGGGGGGTGTCTTTTGCTTTTTGTGCTTTGTTGTAAAGTTAACTCAATAAAGTAGATCACCATCTTTAACAGCAGTCCCAGGAGTTCTCCTACAAGTTCTGGAGCCTTCTGACCTCCACAGGCAACAGGCATACAATAAAAATAAGTAAACATGTTTTAAAATGAATGAATGAATGAATGAATGAGCAAATGAACAAAGGAATGAGATGTCCCAAATCTGGGGAAAGATATGAGCAACTAGGTACGGCAAATCTAAGTCTCCAAACATGGTGAACCCAAAGAACCAGGACATGTTATCATCAAAGGGTAAATAAGCAGCGAGGTATCTCCAAAGAAACAGATATGCAGGCAATAGCATACAGTGTTCAGAAACAATCTCATGCATCTTCAGCGGACTGATTCTCAATAAAGAAGCCAAAACTATGCAGGGGACAGAGATGACCTTTTGCAGAGTGGTGCCAGGAAGCAATAGCACATACACACAAGGATGGACGTGACCTTCATCTTTACTGAAAATGGACCAGCAACCTAAATGTTAGCTCAGAGACAATAAATAAACACTAGAAGAGAATGGTGGAGAATTTAACAAGTCGGGTAAACAACGGTTTCTTTTCATCCCACCCCAAAAGCAAAGGCAACAATTGAAGCTATACAAATGGGATAATATCAAACTACAAAGCATCTTTGCATCAAAGGAATCAATCGGCAGAATCAAGGGACAAACTGCTGAATGGGAGAAAATGTTTGCACACCATTTATCTGATGAGGGAGTAATATTCAGAATATATCAGGAACTCAATATAAAGCGAGAAAATCTGATTTTTTAACAAAAGGGAAAGCTATTTGAATAGACTTTTCTCAAAAGAGAGCACACAAATAACCAAGAAGTATATGGAAAAATTGTAAGAACCCAGAAAATGCAAATTGTGTTCATAGTAAGGTGTCCCCTCACCCCAGTTGGGATGGCAATTACCAAAAAGAAAAAAATTGCAAAAGCCAATGAGGTTGTGAGGGGAAATGACTCCCACAGTGCCAATGGGGATGGAAACTAGTACAGCCAAGAGAGGGGGTGGAGTGGAGGCTGCTCAGAGTCACAAACAGAACCACAGGCTCCAGCTGTGGCACAGACAGACAGAAATGCGATCGTGTTTTCAAGGACCATCTGTCTGCACTCCAATATTTACTGCAACATGATTCTCATTAGCAAAGAAACAGAACACACCTAACACCCAACCTCAGAGGGAAGAAAAAATGTGATATCCATACATGAATACAATAAGATACTGTCCCATCATTTAAAAGGGACAGCACTCTAGCAGTGTTGTAGGTAGAGCTGGAGATTAATTTCAATGTTCTTTGAAAACCAGCCACAGGAAGACAACCACCACACCATTCCTGTCTACACTCTCCCAACCTGGCAACTCTCTAGTGAGAAGAGAGTAGACTAGTCATCCCTGGAGGTCCAGCTAGAGCAGGGAATGTCCAGGAGTGAGAAAGAGGAGAGTAGGTGCCAAGATGATACCAGTGAGGGCAAGAAGTTCTAATGTTATACAGCATACAGTTCTTACCATGCATTTCTGAGAAGGTCAAGCATGTCTACAATGTATTCTAATCTTGTTCACCACTACTTCTAACTCCTCACAAATCCAACTCTCCTCCCACTGCTCCCCTCCTTACCCCAACTTCCAACTCTGTGTCTTCTGTTTTTCTTTTCTTTCTTTCTTTCTTTCTTTCTTTCTTTCTTTCTTTCTTTCTTTCTTTCTTTTTTTGCAAGGCATGCCCATAGGTACAATAGTGTCAAGAACATTATAGGGTCAAGTAGTGCATGCTTTTAATCCCAGAACTTGGGAGGCAGGGGCAAGTGGATCTCTGTGAGTTCAAGGCTAGCCTGGTCTACAAAGAGAGTTCCAGTACAGTCAGACCATTACACAGAGAAACCCTGTCTAAAAAAACAAACAAGCAAAAAACATTCCAGGTTGTTCTGCTCAGATTTAAAGCCCCTCTTAAGAAGGAAACACATTCCTAGTGTGTAAATCTAACCAAGGACCCATAATTGGGGAGCCCATGGGTCCCAGGAGTAAACCTACTGCTTTATTTGATGAAAATACCAAGGCATCATATTGCCTTCTAAATAAATATCTATCTACCTATAAGTTAGAGCAATCTTGGACCTCATTAGAGTTTTTTGTGTACAGTGGATGGTGGCTAACACAGAAATTCACAGCTGGCCAAAGTGCAGAGAATAAGTGTAAGTAGAGTGCTCAGGCTCAAATGGGACATCTGTATCACACACACACACACACACACACACACACACACACACACACACACACACACACACAAGGCTCAGGAACCATTGCAGAAGAAAGGAATGAAAGATATAAGAGCCAGAGGTCAGGGGTGAGCAAGGCAAAAACCAGGTCTTCTGGACATGACAGGAACTGTCCTCTTGAGTTCAAGGCAGCTGTGATCTGCCTGCATAAGGTACCAGATCACGCCAGTCAACATTGCAGCACAAAGTGGGAAGGGGTTCATATGTGCCCCCTTCCCACTGAGGAGCTGTGGAAGCTGACAACTTCTGGGGGAAGACAAGCTTGTTTTCTTTAAAGGTGTGGCCCCTAGTAGGTGGACCACGGTCCTGTGGATAACCTCGAATGGTAAGTATTCAAGCAGCACAAAGGAAACATAGTGGGCTATTAGAAAAAGATACACAATATTGAATTAGACAGTTCAAAACATTAGGGGATAAATGTTTGATCATGTTTGCAGGAAGACAGTTGCTAATTATCCTAATTTGACCATTACCTGCTGTGTATGTATAGCTGATTACAACACTGCCCTCCACACACAGGCAGGAACATTATATGTCATATAAAAAACTTAATCATGAATTGTGTTTTCCAAAAAGAGAATTGGCTAAAGGTACAGACCTCTGGTGAAATTAAGAGTCCATAGAAGAAGGAAAAGGTTAATTAATCATCTCGTCTTCCATTATTAGGTTAATTTGTTACCAAATTTAGAAACTCCAAGGCTTGGAAATATTCCAAAAAAGAGCAGTTTTTCTTCTTTGTGTGTCAAGCTTCACTGACCAGAAGGAACTTCAGGCCCCCAGAAATGAATAAAAGCCCCAGGCGTCTCCATCACTGACCATCTTCCACACTGCTGGCCACTCAACCATGAGGGTCCATTCCTGCCTGCCTGTCCTCTTCCTCTTTGTGATGATAATGCCGGAAGGTAAGTTGGGAAATGGCAGCAGGAGCAGGGCTTCTCAGGAGGTCTACTGAGGTGCACAATTATACTGTGTCCCTCATAACTTAGATGTCAGTACACAGACTTGAGTATCCCAAAATCCAGCACCTTCAGAACTGATGAGGTTGAAATTCAGAAAGGAGTCAAGGAGTCCTACCAACATAAAATGGGGCCCAAGAACCCCAACACTGGGAGGGAAAAGTCCAAGTAGAGAAATAGAGGCCAAGAAATTACTTGACATAAAACCTAAGTCAATATACTTTTACAAAAAAAAATGGCTACCACCAGCAACCCAGTCTCCAAGGAGTATGGAGATTAATTCATGTTGCAGAGTGGATGGAGATATAGAGTCTATTGGTGAGACGTGTATGCAAACGCTAGAAGCAAATAAGAAAACTCGGGAGCCGCGGAATTATGGGGAAAGTGAAGACAATGGGAAGCATCAATTTAAAAAGATGCTAATTGGAAAGTGATAGGAAGCATGTAAGAATCTGGTTGCATCCTTAAAACCTGCAATTCGCAAGTTTGAGTGTTAGAATATAGAATCAAATTTAAAGCCATTCCAGTCCTCTTCTGGCTGCTTCATGCAGATCCTGGTGAGAACTTACAGAACTTGTCCCTACTACTTTTTGGAAGAAAAGGGGCTTGTTGAGCATGCCCGAGGGAGCATTGGGCTGGACGGAAGTAACAGCACTGCCCACCAGCAGCAGGATGTCCACATCTCTCTGTCCTCACTAAGAGCAGGATGTCCACATCTCTCTGTCCTCACTAAGAGCAGGATGTCCACATCTCTCTGTCCTCGCTAAGAGACAGCCCTGCTTGGCTCATCACTGAGATCCTTTTATAGGACAGCCAACGTCTCTCACTTGTGAACTTTGGCCTAATTTATGAACATCTTCACTTATACCTGGCACATCGCTGCACTCTCACAAAGGAGTTGATGCCATCCTCAGTTCATTTCTCAGCCCTAGTCACAAAACATGGTGGAGGTTGACAGACCCCCAGGAACATGTAAAATATGATGGTAATTACCTGAACATACATGGCACTTTAGCTGTCATATATTTCACTTTAGATAACAGAAGCCATGCTCACATGGAAAAAAAGTTTTCATTACAATCATACATGTGGTTACAACACTGAACTAAGTTTCTCTTCCTCCGGGTCATTGTTGTTTCCACGGATACACACGGACATAAAAATGGCAACTGATTTCTGCCAGACTTTTGCTTCAAGGTCTCCTAACTGAATATTGAGGAGACTAAGGGGATTCTTTGTCATGTGTGACAGCATTAAAGAATCCAGAGGTTACTAAATAATCCAGAGGTGTTATTTTAGCTATTGCAACGACCTAAAATTATCAACTTGGAAAAGACACTGCAATGGTGGCTATGAGAGCTGGAAGATGAGGGGCAGAGGACTGGGGAGTTTGATCTTTTTAGATCTTCAGTTGAAGAATTTTATGAGTACATTTTATAGATGAAGTCTAAAACGTCCTGACCATAGCACTTAAAAATGTGGAGGAGTTGGATCTCATGGTAAGTGTTCTTATTGTAATAAAGAGAGTACTGAAAGGCTGTTTAGGAGGAGGGGAGAGGTAACCTCCTGCCCTAGACTGCAAGTCAGGATCCCTGACCCCTCAAGATCAGCCTTCCCTTGCTCTTCCCAAATGGGTTGTACTGTGAGGATAGAGTAAACCAAAGTCATGCAGTTCCTCAGTGGAGGGGAGCACGTCACACAGTGGAGGGGAGCACTTCACACCATGGAGGGGAGCACTTCACACAGCCAGGTCTCTTGTGAACCCAGGATGTCAAAGACCCAGGAAAAGATCAAAGTATCTTACTTTGGTTGTGTTTTATTCTTTTTATTGTTTGAGAAGTTTATACATGCACATAATATGTTTTGATGAAGCCCATTCCTTAACCCCTCCCCTCTAATTCTTCCTCTATTCCCCCACCACTTTTCTCTCTTGGTGTAGTGTGCTTTGTTTTTATTTTAAGCAGTCATTCTTGCTTCAGCAGCTGTTTATCGACATTCAGGTGGGTACTATAGTAACAGGCCTAGAGACGGATGTTGCAGCCAGCAGCAGAATGGAAGGTGGAGAGGGGAATGTGTGTTTCTGCAGTGCACAAGGAGAAGTGGGGGAGGCCAAAGCCAGTGGGGAAGCAAGCCAGGGCCAGGGCCAAAGGTTATCTACGCTGGAACCTGAACCCCATGCCCTTAGCCCCGGGTGCTTTGTTTTTGAAACTACTGAGTCAACTTTTACTAAGAACCGTAAGCAGGCATGTGTCTTTTACATAACATCCCTTATTGTCATCAGTGGAAAGAACGAGCCTTCGTGGTGCTGCAAAGGCAAGCATGTAGCCTTAGCTACGATCTCCTCAAAAGTCAAATGAATTAAGAAGACAAGTGGATATACTTGAGGAAAACTTTTGGTTCTGAGAAGTCCTTCCATGCATGTATATGCAAAAGGCATGGAGTAACTCAATAAACATGTGTCTTACACAGTTCCGAAGGCGGAGCTGAGATGGAAGTAGAAGGGTGGGCTGATTTTCTACAAAGCAGGTTGGAGATGAGAACATGTGCATCTGATAATGGTGCTGTTGAAACTGCTTCTCGGTGGAGGCATTGATGGTTTCAGTTCAGGGTGATTCACTAGAAAGGAAACCGAACAAGGCATTACTTATCCACTAGGGTTCCAAAGACATCTTCTCCATCATGGGAACAGTTAACACTTCCATGCCCTCAAAATGTACCACCCAGGGTGAGGACCAAATCTCTAAATTCCCACAACTTATCCTGCTCACTCCAAGGTGTGTATAATCCCAAGCTCTTAGCCCCTCTCCCTGAAAAATAATACTATTTCTGTGTAAGCATATGATCTGTGTAGACAGTATTGTGTCTCCCATTCCAGACCATCTTCTGGGCTGTGGCTTTGTGCACATTTATGGTACTTTGAAAGTGAATTAACAGTGTTGTCCAATTTCTTCCTGTACAGGAAAGGCTGGTCTTCTCCCAGGGGAAAAGCAATGCATTTTGTTGAAAGGAATCTGCAAAGACATAGCATGCACGTCCACAGACGATACCATTGGCGAATGTAACGATGATAAAAAGTGTTGTAGGAAATGGTGGGTGTTTGATCCCTACCCAACGCCCATTCCCAAAGGAAAGTCTCCTTAGAGGGGAGGAAACTGTAAGCACTTCAGACTCCGGAAAGCATGGATAAGCTTTGCAGACTTCTGCTTTACTATACTCACCTTCTCCAGTGTCTGGAAATAAATGTCCTCAGTCCATACTCACTGGTCTCTGTAAGCCTCTAAAAAATCTTTTAGAAGTTAGTAACAGGAACTAAGAGGGGAAATCCCCTTACTGCTTCAGAATGTACTGGAACACCTCTGTTCAATGTCCAACTTCATTATTTTTAAAACAGGGTTGACAAATTATTTAGGATTTACCATAGCAATACTCTCCTCTCTAGACAACACTAATCACAATAATAATAATAACAATAACTAGAAAAAATGTATGAGAGCACCATACCTTGAAAATATTTAAGCAAAATGCATGTTCAACAAAAAATATCAAGATGAAACTTTAAACATATAAATTAATGAATATGAAGTGCATAATGTTTGATTGTCTTCACTGGAATATAAACACTTTATCTCATTTGCTTCTGACAGCATAGTGTTTTTCTGGGTTGGGAGTGTAGCTCAGAAACAAAGTGCTTGACTAGCCTTGGCTTGAACCACTAAATATAAATATAATTTTTACTACTGATGAGATCTACTTGGAGCATATGGGTAAGAGCCTGTCAATCATGTGATCTTGCTGATACTGCACCTGAGAACTAGGCTGTAATCCCTACTCCTTCCCCCAAAAGAAAAACTCAAATGCCAAAAACCAAGTTCTTAAAATCCCCAAAGATTACTTCTCTTTGTGTCTATCACAAAAGATAAAAAACTTTCCTAAAGTATGATTATGGGGGAAAGTAATTTTCTTTACAATACATCTAGTAACACAAAAGGGCAATTCACCTGTGAAACTTTAGAATATAACAGACCATCTTACCATCTTACAGGCTAGTATTACAGTAAAATACTTAAGAAAAACATACATTGTTTTGCATAATAGCAATTGTTGCACAGGTATAACAATTATGAACAAATCGGATATGTCATAAATAAGGCAAAGTGAAATATATACATTCATACCACTGTGATTGGGGATTGGGTGCTCCTCCATTTAGAACTGTGGTAGTTTTAAAAATTGTGACAGACACATGAAGTCTATCAAGAAGACAGGATGAATTTTCACCACCAATGGCCACACAATGATCTGAAACCTTATCTTCCCCAAGTGAAGGAAAAATGGCATGTCTTTTCACTGACAAAGTCTCAGCATTCCTGTGTATGTGCACAATCCTGAAACATAAGGATGCCCTAATATACTCTGTGCACTGAGTCTGGTGCATGAAATATGTTCTGTTGGTTTTTGTCAACTTAACACAGATCTAGACATATCTGGGGAAATGACTCTTAATTGAGAAAATATCTCTCTAAGACTGTCACGTAGGCAAGCCTGTGGGGGCATTTTCTTGATGAATGATTGATTGAGAGGGCCCATCCCATTAGGGGTGGTGCAACCCCTGGGAGGGTTGTCCTAGGTTCTCCAAGAAAGTTGGCTGAGCAAACCATGAGCAAGCCAGTAAGCAGAGGTCTTCCATTGCTTCTACTCCAGTTCCTGCCCCGAGTTCCTACCCTGGCTTCCCTCTATGATGGACTACAAACTGTGAGTGAGATAAACCCTTTCCTCCCCAGGTTGCTTTTGGGCACAGTGTCTTAGAAATCCTAATAAAGGCAAAATCCATTCCTCTTGCTACTGCATGCAGACCCAAATTTGACTAAAATAATCCTATTGACCCAACAGCATCTTTCATATGTGTCTTCTTACCTCATGGGTCCTGTGGTTATTTCTGAGAAGACAGTAACTTTCAGTCTTCTTCAAGCAAAATGAGCTTTGCTTCTCTGAGGAAAGCTCTTGGAATCTCATCAGATAGACGGATGCTAGTGCAGGTCAAAGAGAGGACGTGTGTGTGTGTGTGTGTGTGTGTGTGTGCGCGCGCGTGCATGCACATGTGCACGCATGCATGCTTCGGTGTGTACAGGTACCTGCAGAGGCCAAAAGAGGGCATCCGATCCCCTGAAGCTGAAGCTGGAATTACAAGCGGTTGTGAGCTGCCTGGCCTGAGTGCTGGAAAACCAACTCAGGGACTTAGTAGAAGAGCAGCAAGTGCTCTGAGCAACTGAGCCGCTCTCCAGCTCCTCCTTACCAAATGTCTAGAGAGAAATTATTTAAGTCTGGAATCAAAACTCAAAGAACAAATCCCTCCAAACATATGTCAAAGCCCATAGACATCAAAATCTGTTCCTGATATTCTCTTTCCTACACTGAAATCCAAAGTTTTCAACTAAATAACTGAAAGCTCCAGCATCGACTTTTGATTCTTATCAGAAAGATCCTCCAGTGACTTGGGAAGATTTCATCAATTCAGTATCCAGTCTCCCATAGTCTGTTTCATCTAAGCAAAGGATTAGCTAAGGGAAACAAAAACTACACCAAACAGCCAAGGAGATAGCTCATTTGGCAAAGTTCCTACCACACAAGTAAACAGACCTCAGGTTAGGTCCCCAGAACTCTGTTTAAAAGCTTAGCATGGAGTCATGTGACTGTAACCCCAGTCTTGGGATGGGAGGCCAATGGGAGTATCCTTGAAGCTCCTTGGCCAGGCAGCCTAGTCAAACTGATGACAAGCTTCAGGGTCAGTGAGAGATGCTTTCAAAAAGTGGAAGTGGAGGGCAGTCAAAATGAGACCTCCCTCCATCCGCACATGCAGACGTGTGTGTGTACCCCACACTTACACAGCACCACACCACACGTGCAAACATGTGTGTGTACCCCCACACACTTACACAGCACCACACCACACATACAAACATGTGTGTACCCCCCCCCACATTTACACAGCACCACACCACACGTGCAGACATGTGTGTGTATCCCACACACACTTACACAGCACCACACCACAGTGCAGACATGTGTGTGTATCCCACACACTTACACAGCACCACACCACACATGCAGACATGTGTGTACCCCACACACACTCACACAGCACCACACCACACATGCAGACATGTGTGTGTACCCACACACACACACTCACACAGCACCACACCACACATGCAGACACGTGTGTGTACCCCACACACACACTTACACAGCACCACACCACATGTGCAAACATGTGTGTGTATCCCACACACACACAGCACCACACCACATGTGCAAACATGTGTGTGTACCCACACACACTTACACAGCACCACACCACACATGCAGACATGTGTGTGTACCCCACACACACACTTACACAGCACCACACCACATGTGCAAACATGTGTGTGTATCCCACACACACTTACACAGCACCACACCACATGTGCAAACATGTGTGTGTACCCACACACACTTACACAGCACCACACCACACATGCAGACATGTGTGTGTACCACACACACACTTACACAGCACCACACCACACGTGCAAATGTGTGTGTACCCCCACACACACACTTACACAGCACCACACCACACGTGCAGACATGTGTGTATCCCACACACACTTACACAGCACCACACCACACGTGCAAACATGTGTGTGTACCCCTCCCACACACACAGCACCACACGACACATGCAAACATGTGTGTACCCCCCCCACACTTACACAGCACCACACCACACGTGCAAACATGTGTGTGTACCCCCCCACACACTTACACAGCACCACACCACACGTGCAGACATGTGTGTGTATCCCACACACTTACACAGCACCACACCACACGTGCAGATATGTGTGTGTACCCCCCCACACACTTATACGGCACCACACCACACGTGCAGACATGTGTGTGTACCCCACACACACACTTACACAGCACCACACCACACGTGCAGACATGTGTGTGTATCCCACACACTTACGCAGCACCACACCACACGTGCAGACATGTGTGTGTACCCCACACACACTTACATGGCACCACACCACACGTGCAGACATGTGTGTGTACCCCACACACACTTACGCAGCACTACACCACACGTGCAGACATGTGTGTGTACCCCACACACACACTTACACGGCACCACACCACACGTGCAGACATGTGTGTGTACCCCACACACACACTTACACAGCACCACACCACACACACAATAAGTAAAAATAAGATTAATGGATAAAGTTAAAAGAAACGGGATCAAAAGAAGGCTACATAGACGTTACAGAGCTGTGTCCTCCACAGAGAAGAAGCAAAGACAGTGAATGATGGGCATCTGGAGTGAGTGGCTATGGGACTCAGCAAGGAAAAGCTGGGACCCTTCAGACATGGACACTTGGAAGGTTGACCCGGGGACTTCCTGCCCAGGGGACTTCCCACAGCAGAAGAAAGGGTAAATAGCACAGTCAGAGAGACTCCGTTCCTCTGAACATCATCAATCCTAGTTACAGGAGAGTGCCCCACTCATCACAGGCCAGAGGCCAAATTAGGAGCACCAGAATCCTCACAGCAGCTCTGCTTCAGGAAAGGGACTTGCCATGCCCCACCCCCAATTCATGAGACCAGGCTGAGCCACTACAAACCGTCGGCCGAAGTCGCCGTGAGGATCCATTCTTCCTGGGAGAACACTGGTTTCAGTGTACAGCATCCTGGATTCCCATGACGTCATTGCTGTCACCCCATAAATCTCTATAGACCCCCAAATAAGAAACGAAGACCAGACAGTGCCCTACAATACAGGGGCAGGTGCTCAGCACAGCGGGAGGTGAGGTTGGAGGTTTGACCCGTGTTCCAACACTGATTCCACCCCACTCCTAGTGCCCATCGCTGCCTTCATCAAGGGCCAGCCCTTTTGACAGAGTGCCTTCCCTTTCATCAAAAGTGAAGGACTGGGCCGGGCGTTGGTGGCGCACACCTTTAATCCCAGCACTCGGGAGGCAGAGGCAGGCGAATCTCTGTGAGTTCGAGGCCAGGCTGGACCGACAGCCTCCAAAACAATACAGAGAAACCCTGTCTCGTAAAACCAAAAAAAACAAAAACCAAAAAAAAAAACCCCAAAACAAAAACAAAAGTGAAGGACTGGAAAGAGCTATTCTATGCAAGTAGAAAAAAAAGATATAAGCAGAAGCTGCTACTCTCAGTCAGCTAAAACTGAGTGGGCATGGGGGTGGGAGAAGAAGGGGTCTACAGATCATTTCAATATGAGAAAATAACAAGTTTACACACACCCACTGCTGGAGTACCCAATTACACAAAGCAAAGGTAGACACTGTTAGAAGTTATAATATTTAGTGTTAACTGTCAGCTTGATGTCATCTGGAATTGCCAGAGAGATGGGCCTCTGGACCCAGGCTGACATCTGCTTGCCCTCTCTGGGATCTCCTGGCCTGGGGACTGTGGGCAGATTGACTCGC